TGGACGTCAGATCTTGAGCTGAGGACAACAGCCCAAGAAGGCTCTGCCAATGGCGGAGATTGAAAGGTTGAGAGTGGGCTCACCGCGAACCAATTGGATCACCGCGAACCGATCCGGAGGAACTTGTATCAAGGAGAGGTCTGTCAGTAGGAGACTGTCCACTAAAGTGAGATGGCGAGAGGGAGTTAGATCCGATTTCTCCATATTGATGATCCAACCCAACTAATGGAGGTAGGCAAAGGGTGAAATCGCGCTGAAGAATCAAGGTTTGATTGAGGTCGTGACCGAGGATGCAGTCGTCGAGGTAGGCTCTGAACCAACCTAATCTCTGAGTGAGTGAGTGAGTGAGTGAGTGAGTGAGTGAGTATGGTTTTATGCAGCTATTAGCAGTATTCCAGCAATATCACGGCGGGGGACACCAGAAAGGAGCTTCACACATTGTACCCATGTCGGGAATCGAACCCGGGTCTTCGACGTGATGAGCGTACGCTTAAACCACTAGGCTATCCGACCGCCCCTGTCAGAGGAGGAACGGCACAGAACTGCAGGCGGTTACTGTGGCTGAGGATCCGGGTAAAGAATGGATCTTGGAGCAGCTGCCAATTCCTCCAGTAGGTCTGAAGTCTCCCTCCTGGAGACGGATGAACAGAGACAACTGGCGGAGGGAGTTGCCAGTCGTCCGAAGAAAGTCACTCCTGGCGCCAGTCCCCACCAGAAAAGCCTCCTTGGTTGGGGGGCTTGTTGGTCTGAACTGGGACTGGCTTCAGACAATGTCTCTTCCAAACATATGATATTTGTTGCTGAGAGAGCTGTGATGAAAAGGAGACATTCCATGTTACCAAGAAGACGAAACTGTTGGTGATTAGTCCATGGCAATAGTAGGGATCTGGCCGTTGAAGAGCACCGACCCAGATCAAGGTGGGCGCATCAACAGTGGACAAAGAGAGTGACGGAGAGCGGCGTCAATTCTACCAAGTTGCGAATATGACATCGGAATTGAGGTACTGGACCGAGAAGAACTGACGACCATGCAAACGTCTTCATCAACAGGAGGGCAGACGTTGGCAAAAGTCATAAAGTCGAAAGGATAGTTTTCCTTTCGAAATCTCAGAACTTGAATCGATGTCTGGACAGGCAGTGTCATAAAAGCAGTGTTTAATGACGTGGCCACTTCAGCTATCAACGGGTCGCGTGGGAGGAGAACTTCTCCAGACTCCGAAACATTGTGTTCAACCTGGAGGCGCCTTGCCCAGGCGAAGCACAAGGGAGATGATCAACAAGTATTTGTCACAGAGTGACGAAATATCCCCCGCCATATACACCATAGTACCAAATATGAAGACAATCCAGCGATTAGTTCTTGAGATATTGTGGCAACACCGTTTTCCAACTCCAAAAACAGATTTGCCTGCTGTGACCTTGAAAATGGGGTCAAGGTCACCAAATCTGACAGGTGTATGCGGTGTCTGTATATACACTATAGTTCCAAATATGAAGACAATCCAGCGATTAGTTCTTGAGATATCGCGGCAACACCGTTTTCTAACTCCAAAAGCAGATTTGCCTGCTGTGACCTTGAAAATGGGGTCAAGGTCACCAAAACCGACTGGTGTCTGCGGTGTCTGTATATACACCATAGTTCCAAATATGAAGACAATCGAGAGGTTTAGTTCTTGAGATATTGTGGCAACACCGTTTTCCAACTCTAAAAGCAGATTTGCCTGCTGTGACCTTGAAAATGGGATCAAGGTCACCAAAACCGACTGGTGTCTGCGGAGTCTGTATATACACTATAGTTCCAAATATGAAGACAATCCAGTGTTTAGTTCTTGAGATATCGCGGCAACACCGTTTTCCAACTCCAAAAGCAGATTTGCCTGCTGTGACCTTGAAAATGGGGTCAAGGTCACCAAAACCGACTGGTGTCTGCGGTGTCTGTATATACACCATAGTTCCAAATATGAAGACAATCCAGTGTTTAGTTCTTGAGATATCGCGGCAACACCGTTTTCCAACTCTAAAAGCAGATTTGTCTGCTGTGACCTTGAAAATGGGATCAAGGTCACCAAAACCGACTGGTGTCTGCGGAGTCTGTATATACACCATAGTTCCAAATATGAAGACAATCCAGAGTTTAGTTCTTGAGATATCGCGGCAACACCGTTTTCCAACTCTAAAAGCAGATTTGTCTGCTGTGACCTTGAAAATGGGATCAAGGTCACCAAAACCGACTGGTGTCTGCGGAGTCTGTATATACACCATAGTTCCAAATATGAAGACAATCCAGTGTTTAGTTCTTGAGATATCGTGGCAACAAACAGGTGGGACGTACGGACGGACGTACGGACGGACGTACGGACGGACGTACGGACGGTCGTGAATACTATATCCCCCGCTTCGCGCTTTCGCGCGGCGGGGGATAACAAGTCAAGCAGGCATATCAGCAGGAGTGAGAGACTTGGTCAGAGACGCTTTGTCATAGTCTTGTACAAATGTTACTCATCATCCAAGGGGTGGCGATGTGACGTTAAAGGAGGAGTCCAGACGTCTGGTGCTCTGTGCCGGGACACCAGATGATGAAGTGGGTTGGCGATGTTGGGCGAGACGAAAAGGCGTCCTGGCGACTGGATGGCGACATATGGAGCTGGCAAAAGCTGGCGACGATCTGGTGCTGGCGACAGCCTGGCGATCTGGCAAGCACTGGCAACGGACTGGCGAGCTCTTGCAACCCTGGCGATAGCAGACGATAATAGTTGATAGGTGATAGTTGGCAAAAAGCTGGCGACGATACGGCGCTGACCTGATGGTCGTTGGCGACGGCCCGGCGAGCACTGGCAACCCTGGCAATAGCAGACGACAATTCGGTGATAGTTGGTGATCCGAAGGTCGTTGGCGACGGCCTGTCAATAGCTGACGGCGATTCGGTGATAGCTAGTGATCCGGCGAGCGCTGGCTATAGCTTGGCGATGATTAGTTGATAACTGGCGATCAGACGAGCACTGGCGCTGGTCCGGCGAGCGCTGCCGACGGCCTGGCGATAGCTGACGACGATTCGGTGACAATTGGTGATCTGGTATGATGAAACGAGGCGACGGTCCGACGCCAGCTGGTGATGATCTGGAGAGGGCTGAGTACGACCTGGAGACAACTGGCGACCTTTCCCGGCGATAGCTGATGACGGCACTTGACAAAGGCAGCAGTAGAGTCTTCAGGAGTATCCAGGAACATCTTCCTCCTATAAGCAAGTTATTTCTGGCAACGAAGAAGAGCCTTTCTGTGATAATTAAATTCTGTAATTGTTACATGAGAGCGCAGAGCAGCAATGATCAAACGAGCACGCAGGCTTGCAGCAGGGGCAAAGATGATGTGGGTCTTTCCCCGACCCGGGCCCTTTACATAAAGCACAACGCATAGAATACATTCTGCAAAAAACATAAACAGCGCATAAGTGTAACGAGCAGAATCACATATGAAGCAAAACATGTTACTGGACAATATGTGAACAAAGCGCACAAACACACAACCACAACACAGTGTGAAGTGCGACTTGAAGCAATTCAAAAACATAAAACGCCTAATTAATATGAATTATGTCAATAGAAAGCCATAATCAACAAAAAAAAGGAGAGATTCACCAATAGTAGAAAACTATAGCAAACAAAGGACATTAATGCGCAACCTCGTAAACACGAGACGCACGGAGTTAAAATGGCGACCAAGGCATGAAAAGGACATTATGGATGTAACGCCACCTAAAAACAAATTTGAAGATAATTAACAAGGTAAGTTGAACTCTGTTCCTCTACACGACTGTCCGTAGGGCAGACAGAGAAGAATATGAGGAGTAGGGGCCAAGGTGGATAACTCGTGGATGCCTAGGCACGGCTGTAGTCTGCTTAAACTGTCTCTTCGTTCCAGTATTGTCTGTTTGTATAAGGTAGGGAAGCTAAAGCACTGTGTAGCGTCAGGTAAGGTAAAACATGGTAGTGCCTAAGAGGCACTGTACATAAAATTCAAGTGTACCATTTCCTATTTTATGTGTGTAATAATAGTAAATATATAGTAAATTTCTAGCCCTGACTGAACAACACGTTTTCAGTGAGGTTTCCATAATGTTAAGTCTTGATGATTTCACGATGTTACCTAAGCAGGTTAGCATCATATTGGCCTTTAAAGGTTTGACCTTTCAGAAGGTAGTCCACCTGTCGGAGAAAACCATAGCCACCACGTTGCTAGCTCATGAAACAGACTTTGCCTTCTTCGTTAGATGTGTTAGGTGCTTCCACTGCTTTGACTATTGTTTACACTGGCTGGACAAAAGGGTTGCAAACTGCTCTTCTTCAACATGTTCAAAATAATGCAAATTATCAAAATCAGAAATGCACCTTGAGATGTATTGGTAATCATGGTAATGCAGCTGGGGATGTATTGGTAATCATGGTAATGCAGCTGGGGATGTATTGGTAATCATGGTAATGGACCTGGGGATGTATTGGTAATCATGGTAATGCACCTGGAGATGTATTGGTAATCATGGTAATGCACCTGGAGATGTATTGGTAATCATGGTAATGCACCTGGGCCCACTTGCACAAAGCGATCTCAGCGCTAAGACTATCGTAAGCCTATGTTAAAGAAGGGAGTTACAATCATCTTAGCGCTAAGATACCCTTGTGCAAGTAGGCCCTGGAGATGTATTGGTAATCATGGTAATGCACCTGGAGATGTATTGGTTATCACGGTAATGCACCTGGAGATGTATTGGTAATCATGGTAATGCACCTGGGGATGTATTGGTAATCACTGTAATGCACCTGGGGATGTATTGGTTGGTAATGGACTTGGAGATGTATTGGTAATCATGATAATGCACCTGGGGATGTACTGGTAATCATGGTAATGGACCTGGAGATGTATTGGTAATCATGGTAATGGACCTGATGATGTATTGATAATCACGGTAATGCACCTGGACATGTATCATATCATGTGTAACCCACCATGGTTTCCACTCCTGCTGTATGACCCGGAGGAGGTCGCCCTTCAGCTGGGGTCCAAACAACGGGTTCAGTTGGCAGATGTAAGCTGTAAGCCAGCTGTGGACAGAACAACGATAATGTAAGCATATTCATGATCAATGTTCCAGGTAATAATAGTTATGTTGCTTGTTTGTTGTCTAACTCTGCAATATTCCAGCGAAATGACAGTGGCCCGCAAATACTTGAGTCGGGAGAAGAAAAACCGTTTGGCTGCGATGACACGCAAACAAGCTAGAGACTTAGCCAGACAATGTGATTCAATGTTAACAGAGCAACCAGCATGTCTAGGCACAAGGACAAAATCCCTATGCACTTTTAACACCGACGCCGCTTTGAACAGTATTCTAGTTATATCACGGTGTGTTAGCTTGATGTGGGAGGAAAGACACAAGTGCTGTAGATCTCAGACATTTACCACTTTCACTAGTTTCCGTGGTAGAAACCACGATTTTTAGTCCAATAGTCCTTACAAGGATAACATATAGCAAAACCCTTAAAAAATGACAAATTTCCAAGAGTCCTTATGATAGCATTACTATTGGCCAGTTTGTCAAAGACTACAGGACCCGTGCCAATTTCTAACGCTGACTTTGGTGAAACCCACGAGCGCAGATGTGGTGCCGACAAATGTGGAAACATTATCAAGGTGAACCGTGATTCGAACCCATAATCATAGGTTTCCGGGGTGACAGCACTACACAGCAAACTGCAGTGCTTCAGATAACTGGGAAATCCCCCTTCCATCGCTATATGGCTGGATTAATGCCGATGCGATGATAAATTTTAACTTAACTCCCCCCTCCAGTTGCCAATGAACATGATGAAGACATACATTTTCTAACTGACATGTAATCAAGCCAATACTGATCGTGATGACAGTAGTGAACAATGAGAATGATCAGTCCAGCTGTCACAGGCCTACGTTCAGGCATGTATATTGAACACTGAGTATGCCAGACACTCCCAGGGATACTTACAACACATAACAGCACACTGCGCTCAGCACCAACATAATCTGAAGAATTCTGAAACAGCCAAATAGTGTTTTACTAATTGCACAAAGTTGGAAGTTAACAATGACAAATGAACATGATAAACCAGGCCTCAAAGTTGCAATTAAAACGGTTGCCAATGCAACCTAAATTTCAGTTTGTCTAATGTCTAAAAGTCTGAAGTAGCCAAATGACAACCTTGAAAAATATCTTGTGGCGACTAAATTCTATTGCTACACATCTGTAGACACAAAAATATATAACAGCTGATCTTGGATAACATGTCTGCTAATAATTGTACTCGCAAATAGTTCCTCCTAACATGCCTAAAGTCGACAATGAACCGAAATACATAAATATTAATGTAATAAGTACATTATTCTAGTTAACAATGCTCACTGGATAAGCAAGGATACCATTATATAAACTAGTAACATAAATTGTATCATTGTTTGAGTCACAAGTAACAAAAATCAAGTACAGTTTTCACTAATATACAATTCCAAGACTAGTCATGCTAGTGCTATATGTACATCATGGAACATATTATAATAGATATTTGATATAAGATAATTTCAAATGCTTTTGGCTACCTACAATTTTGGCCTGACTTCTTGAATTTACCATTGGCTACCTGGAAAAAAATAATTGTAGCCATATGGCTACTTAGTAAAACTTTAAACTTTGAGGCCTGTAAACATAACAATAACACGCAGACAGAGTCTTCCACATCCCCAAACATCTGTGCATGGTTACAAGTGTAAGTAAATACTCATCAAATCTATGATAATGCTAGGAACCAGTCTTAACTAGCACACACCCGCAAAGTTTCATGGAGATATAATGAAATGTTTGGCACCTGAAAACTGATTTCCCAAATTTTTGCCTTGAAAATCAAATGATATGTTTTCTTTTTAAATTCCCGTGCATCAATTGCACCAGTTCAGCACTTGCCAGATGTGTATGCAAATTTCACTAAGATAAATGAAACAGGTCATAAACCGTCCTCTTGAAAGACGAAAACCGTCATTTGACTGAGCAAACAAAAAATAATACAAGTGACATATCAGAAAAATATTCATTCTTTATTGTGTTTACCACATTGTTCAAACTTGATAACAGGTAGCTACTTCTCTCCCATGAAATTTGAAACTTGATAAAACTTGTAGTGATTTTACTCAAATTACATTGGATTAATTCATAAAGAGAGGTGCGATAGCTTACCAATACCTTACCCTAAGGATTATAAAGTGCTCTTTGATCAGGAAGGGGATCTAAGGGCTAAGGATAGAGTTTGGTGTAACCTAGGTCCTACTCTAACACAACTAACCCTAAGGAACGAAAAGGCATGCATGATTAGTGAAGTGAGAACCACCACCTGCACCCGAAGCCATTTACAGCGATATTTATGAATATATAAGCTCTGAACGGTAAACTACAGTATTACAGGGCTGGCTTCGTTCAACATCATGAATGTGTTCAGCTGATTGTAACGATGAATTGTTTACTTCAGCATATATATTCATCCATAAACATATTGATGTTCATAACCCTATATAATTCTGTCATTACTTTGTGTACTGTACCATTCCTTATCGCTCATGAACCTTGTCCACTGACATTCAACATGCCTACTTGTTCAATACATTTGACCACAAAGATCTAAATGGCAAATATGGCATGTATCACTGAACATGTTGTATGGGTTTATCAAACACCAAAACTGATATATTGAATATAAACTTGCTTACATGACTGTTTGTTTGTAACCACGATAACAAGATCTTTGATGTTTGTAACCGGCGGTGTTCATGAGTGCATATTTATACATCTCGACAACACAAATATCCGTCTCACTGCTGGGTCATTCAATGACATACTGTCACCATCACGAGCAAATCAACTGATTTCACAAACAAAATGTGTTGTTTTGGTGACTGTACTACCACTTTCAATTCTTCATTTTTCAAGCTTACCCCTTGTTTGGAGATCTCCACATCAAGAATTGGACTAGAATGGGCAAAACAATGCCTATAAAAGCCCATACAGCCGTCACAATCCCAACAACTACCGGAGTGTCCATCTTGTCCTCGCAATTATGACCCGGAAGTAAGCATCACATGACTAGAGCTCCCCGCAGCGTAAGCTGGTTCCCGGCTCCCCATGCGCGTCGTCAACTTGCGCTTATTTTGTGATATTAGAGACGGGGCCCAGCTTACCCGCAGCGACTAAAATTAGACTGGGCTACGTCCTTGGATGTCGATGCGCATTATGCTATCAGTGAAAAGCAGAAAACGAGACGTGTCTAAGTTCGTAATGACATTTTTAAAAAAGAACAGAAGTTAAAATACAATTGTTTATCTGATCAGATGTATGTAGATAATGTATGAGTGTAAACGATTTACACATACTACATATTTCCAAACGTATAAGCATTTGTGAGACAACATATATAATGACGTCATCCCCACGTGATATAAACATTACCACGTGTTTGTTTTGTGTCACCATTCGTGACCAACACGTGTTATTTCGGGGAAAGGGGCAAGTGGTGACGAATGGTGTCACGTAAGAACATTCTGAATAATGAAGTAAACTGCTGAGTATATGTCTGGGAAAATCATTAGTGCTGAATGTATATACATATATTGTATCTGGAGTAGTATAGACAATGGTGATTCTGGCTCACTTCCACTGGAGCCAGATTTATATTATATATACCTATACCGCTACTACAGAGGGAATTTTTTGTGTAAAAATGATGATGCGATTCAACGATCGTCATGAGATTGTAATGAAAATATTCTCTGTTATTTTTACTCATACACATAACATTATTTTGAACAAAGTGATATTCAACATTTTTACTAAGTTCTACATTCATTATAATGTACTAGCTAGGTGACCAATTTTGGAAATGGGAAAGAAACAATTGATGACCGTATTTGGTTGGTTTGACATCACTGATATAATATATACCTTGTGGTAATTCACGCCATTTTATAATTTTGTCCTGGAGCATAAATGTTTTTGTTGACATTATTATAGACTTATGTAAGAATTCGTTTAAATTTGATCAAACAATCTATTTTCAACCTCCAACCAGTTCTTTGGTTTTGGCACGGAATAATTGACGCGCTTGTTGTCTCCCCTGTTCTATGAACTTTTTTTTTCTCGTCTTCGATAATACCACTGGTCTTAAAGGGGCACTGATCTAAAGCAATTCCCCGGGACTGGTTGTTGCCTTTGTTATTGTTTTTTCCCCGTGAGTACCCGGATGTATAGCAGAAATCTAGACTAGTTCGCGACCTCTGCTGCGCCATTCGTAAGCGCATTCGTCACTTTTATGGGTAGTAATAAGTGGGTATGGTCACATTGATAAACAAAATGAAATACAGTTTTCGAGATAATAAGGAAATGTAGGTACCTTTGTGGGTAGCATCGGTAATGCTGACGAAGTTTTGATAAGTCACTTGCTTGGTAATTTTGCGATTTTCGTTTACACTATTTTGACTTGCAACACAAAGTAAATATTTCACCTGAGCATTGCTTTTTTACTGTGTGTATATTATTTTACTCTCAAAATGTGTAACATTTTCAAATTTATTAAACGACTAAATATTCAGTTATTTTACAAAGTGACGGAAAAACATTTCCATCTGTATTATTATGATAACGAATTCCAAACATTTTGATGTTTAAAGGGGCACTGATCTAACGCCATTCCCCGTACTGGTTGTTGAACTGAAGACTGAAAATGTTACGTTGAAAAGTACATTTCAATGTTGTTTGGCTTCTAATCCTACATAATAATCTGTTGTATTGTTTTTAGGCCCTTTTGCTCGTCTTAATCAATTTTAGTCAATCTGGACAGATTTTTCAGTCAAAATGACTGAAATATTTACACATTTTATAAATTGCCTGAGAGAATCACATTTTACAAATTGACGGTAATATATACACGCTTACAAAGGAAAAGACTTGTGAAAACAACGTCTATCACGCATTGAAGAATTTCCCAACCAAGACGTAGAGGAACAAGAACAAATCGGTTCAATGACACAGCAAATGAAGGAAAACAAAATGCAAATACCACAATTACAACCTACCAAATTTATGTGTATAAATTTCAGGCAGCTTCCTTGTTCGAGGAATGTATCCGTGAATATCCACACAAAGGAACAATATCCCATTCGTCTGCAACTGTACAAAGAAACTTATTCCATGTCACTTGTCTCTCTAACAATCAAATATTTTAAAAGATATACATCGTTTCGGGATATTATTACCCGTGTTCGTTTCTCAACTGATCACTTAGATTGTTTCAGGTGTTTCACATAGGTGTCAAGTCTCGAGGGTTGGCTGAGAAAGCCCACGTGACAACTATTTTCATAACGTCCACGGTTCCTGAAAAATCCATTGAGTGATAGATAACAATGAGCAATCAACCAACGTATTATCAGTTAACCCTTTGAACAAAGTATGTTGTTTTTACATCGGCACTTCACGCCATGATATGAGTGTATTCCCTTTGTTTTAGTAAACCTAGACATGTAAACACTCACTTTTGACATATCCACTGTGCAAGATAACAGTGATTAATCAATCAACATATTTTCTGTTAATCCTTTGATGACTAGGAACGATCCGTTGATTTACAAAAAAAGTAAATCAACTGATCATTCACCTCTTGCTGGGCTGCCACGTGCATATTACATAACACACATTTCACCTCACTTCAAACTTGGATTTAGATTGAATAATTACCCCAGACACAATAAATGCCAAATGGGAACCTTTGTCAGTAATCTAAGTGGTGCTACCACTAATTGTACCTGTAATAAATTCATTAACTGAGCATCAAGTGAATGACGACAAATACACAAGTGTAGGGTTATATCAGAAAAAGTGTATGACAACAAGGGAGAAGTAATCGTATTATCGACGCAATCCGAAATCCGAAAATGCTTTCACTGCATGGATACTTTTTTTATTTTTAAACTATAACCATCTGGGGTATTTGTAAATGACGACATCCGATGAGCTCCGCTGTTCTTTTTGTCTGTTTGTTTAGGCTGAAGAAATTAATTAACATGCGCCCTTTGTCAAAATCTTTATAGATTACAGTTAACCAAACAGTGTTCAAAAATGCGTAAAATAAATATTGCCTCCAGCCTCCAAGTTTATTTAGCTGTCCTTGCAGACGGTAGCCCAGTCTCTTGTCACGCTCAGTTGCGTTGCGTATCATCCGGGTACTCACGGGGAAAAAAACAATAACAAAGGCAACAACCAGTCTGGGGAATTGCGTTAGATCAGTGCCCCTTTAAGAGAATTGGATCGAATCTCCTGCTTCATTACATTGTATTTGGTTAGTTCTGACAACACTAAATGAAACTCATCCTCGGATATCTTACAATCAGCCAGTGCTGTTGAAATATGATCCTCAATGCTGTTCAACTTTGCTTCGGCGAGTATCCGAATATTATCATGTTCAACAGTATCCATCTTTACAGATGCTTCATCGAGCGCCGGATATAAACCCATAATTTAATGTATATTATTATATCATATAATAGTCTTCCAATGATCTTGCTTAAATGTTTTGAGAGTATACATCAACCTTATTAAATGTATATTATGTGGCATAAATATCTTAGTAAGCGAAATGCTTTCACCTTTATTAACTTGGACCCCCTCAAGGGTTGAAACGGGTGATACTCCCATATAGATAATACTGCAACGTTGACGCTCATGTTTCTTGACCCATTTAATTGAAAGACCTGGTAATATTTCAAAGGCATCTTCTGGTGCATCTCCAAACAAGACTTTAATAACAATTGTAGAAAGATCAGGTATAGCATTGGTTGATACTTTTCCCCTTCTAAATCCAAGTGTAGCTGCTAAGTTCTTGTAAAGAATTACATTCTTTTCTCCGATTTTTAAAATCAGCATCCCATTTGACTCATTTTGTGTGAGACTAGCTCCTAAAGGCTTAAAAATTTCATCACTGAGTGAGCATACGCTGTAATACCCATCAGATATAATGTGATAGTCTATACCTAGTATTAACTTATTATTATCTCTCACAGCACTTATATTGGTCCACCGCGGGTAATACGTTACATCGCATAGAGCGACTTCAAGTTGACCAGCTGAGTTATCGATAGCAAGAAGCAGTTGAATAGACTGACCATTTGTTATTCCTGGGAGTGTAACATACATATTAAATATACAAAGATACTATATCATAACTTAAATATGAAATCAACTTACATTACGAATCAGTCGATTTTAGTAAGTGCCTCTGGTGCAAGTTTTTTGTTAATTTCCCTGATATCTTTGAAAAATACAGGTTTGCGGCAACTAGCACCAAAATGGTGCATGATTGGTTCCACAATCCAATGCAATTTTGGCAAAACCTTATTTGATCTAAATAAGTCTGTTTTATCATTTCATGTGTACTATCAGATTAGACGTATACTTAAAGAAATTAGTGCCCCATTACCACAGGATCGAGCATGGAATGCATCAAATAATCCGTACAATATGTGGGCATATGAGCTTATTTGTTATGAATTTTATGTTTCTACAAGTAAAGATTGGCGTCTGAGTGGAGTTAAACATGGTCTAGGTATTCCGTACACTGGTGCACACTCTGTTAAAGAAGTCAGCGATGATTTACTGAAAAGAGGTCGGCTTCTTCCGTGCTTTGCTCTCTCGAGTAACGAGTGGAGAGACAATCATATGAACTTTAAGGATGGTGTTGCTTTCACCATCCAAAAGGTTGAGCAACCACCTGGAAATGCTTGGAATGAATTTCTATATGATAAAACAGAAAATAATTTTACTAACCAAGGAGTTGTAAGAGTTAATGAATCAATAAGAACTTATGTATGGGCAATTCTTGGTGCACAATCGCAAACACGAACGGGAATAATCGGTTCTGGGACGGCGCTCGATGCACAAAAACAGTTTGTCACAAATGTGGAGGATACTATTAATTCACCAGTTGACATACCATCTTCTATAAAACGTTATCAAGATGATTACAGTACGCTCAATCCAAAGTTGACTACATTTATGGGGCAGGACTATACATGTCTCCGAGTAATATGGAACTTAAGATCGGTCAA